GGGGGTTGGGGAGGAGGGGGCATGAAGAAAATCGTAGAGGGTTATACCAATAAAAAAAGATCAAGGAGAATTATGACAATTGATGTGGGCTATCTTATCTTTTATTTTCCAATCAGCAAGAAAGAAGGAAATGTTACCAAAAGAATACGGCTTGAAAGAAAATATGTAAAAAGCTCCCTATCAGAATGAGTCTATCATGAATGAAATTCCAAAGCCTCAGAAATCAATTCCAGGCATTCTAGTCCAGCCAGAATAGAATTCAACAAGCAGATAATCTCTGACGTCTATCTCTCACCTACCCACCTAGATAAAATAATTTAGTTCCTCACCCCTAATGGAATTTCACGACCCAATCCTACTTCCAAGGGCTGATTGCTGGTTCTGTTTCCTACTCCTTTCTGGACAAAAAGATTTGGCTCTCTCTGGTCCCTCCCAGAATTTCCTTCGTTATTTGGAAAGTTGCTTGTGGCAAGATAAACACTTGATGATCATATCCAGAGAAAAAGAAAGGGGCAGCTATATGTTTCCCCTCATGCCTGTGTTGTATGCCTTCAGGATGGAGAATCTATTAGCCATCTCCTCATTAATTGCCAAGTGGCTCATGGTTTATGGCAATATTTTCAGGACCTGATTTTCTCATTCAATAGCAGAATAGCAAGCTTGGAAAAAGAGGCAGCCTCTACTGAAAGGAGGTAATTCATGTGGTTATGTGGTGCATTTGGGAAGTGCAGACCAAAAGAATATTTGAGAATAAATGCACATCATTAAAAAACCTGAGAAGACGTGCTGTGGATCAATTCTTGGATGCTGACTCACAGGTCCTTCAATGGCTTCAGTTTTGCTGACTTAGACAGTAACCTTTTGGAGATTTTGCAATCATCCCCTGCTGCTGACCAGATCAGCCCTCCTCTGTCTCCAAGACCCCCCAACACCATTATTCTGCACTTTGATGGCAGCCTAAGAAGATATCAAGAGAATCTTCATGGTTCTGGACACTGCAGGTGTCATTTTAGGTCCAGATGACAACTTGATCTGGACATTTAGCGGTCCTGTTTGGCTGTTCCAGCAGCTGATGTTCCAGAGGCTATGTTAAAAGCTCCTTTGAAGGGTCTCCAAATAGAAAAATCTATGAGAGTTGAACCCATTTTAGTAGGTGATCCCAGGATTGTTATTGGTTGGACTAACTTGACTTGGACTGAAACTTGGAGGTTCTCTCATCTTGTTCATGAAGTAGCAGATATTACATCTACTATAAACTGCAGGTTTAGTTGGATTCCAAGAAACCTAAATGAGGTTACAGATTTTTTAGCGCAATATGGGATGGGAAGGGATCTATTGTATAGTGCAAACAGATAACTTTTTGACTGATTGGGATTATTCTTTTTGCTGCTGTGCTTACTTCACAAAAGTGTAAGAAAAGTGAAAGAAAAAGGAAAAGAAGTAAAGAGAAAACAGTAGAGGAGAGGTAGAAGAAAAGAGAGAACAGCAAGGAGAAGTTGAACTAGAACTCTCCTCATTGTCGACCCAGTATGTATTACTATTCATTAAATGCTGAAATTACAAAAATGCCCCTAGACCAGTAAGATTGATATAGGAGAGAAAATAAGAACTACAAGATGACAAGTATGCCCCTGTCGACTAATTCTAACACTCCCCTTCAAGCTGGAGCATTATGTCATAAAGTTTCAGCTTGTTACAAATATAATCCATCCTTGAACGACCCAAAGTTTTGGTTAAGATATCAACTACTTAGTCTTCTGACTTGATATAAGGAGTAATAATATCACCACTTGTCACTTTCTTATAAAATGATAATCAACTTCAATATGTTTAGTTTTTTCATGAAACATTGGGTTGGAGGCAATATTTGTTGCAGTTTGGTTGTCATAGAACAATTTAATGCATTGATGAACTAGGAAACTCATTTCCTAAAGAAGATGCTTTAACCAAACCAACTCACAATAGCATGGACCATTGCCTTGTATTCAGCTTCAATACTACTCCTAGCAACCACACATTGCTTCTTGCTCTTCCAAGTGACAAGGTTCCCATGCAAGGAGGTACAATAACCTGTACTAGGCTTCCTACCTGTTGAATAACTTAGTTTTATTTTCAGTTTAGTGCCGCAAGGGCACATTTGTAATTACACCTCTTTTTATTTCTGAATGGTTGCCCTAGTATAAATATTAAAAAGGTTGGCACCGCCAGCTGGATTTTCCCTCTCTCCAATCTCTTTTATCTTTTCTCTTTTCTCCTTCTTCTCTTCTCACCATTCTGGGATCGTACTGCCTCTTCACCAAGAAAACATGGTATCTGAGCGGCAGATCCAATCTTATGAGCAGGGCGAACTGTGTGCTTCTTCCTTCAACTTCTATATTTGTCTATTCGGATCAAAGGAAAAAGGTCTCTGGTGGACGTGTGAGGGAGCTTACTGCGATTTTTTTTTCTCTCTTGGTTGTGAGCCCAGAAATCATCAAGGGTAGGGAAGCTGAATGCTGTGAGGTTTTCTTTTCTTCTTTATTCCTCAGCTTTGTGGATCGAACTGATCCTTTTGTACACAGGTGAGTGGGTTATGTCGGTCTAATGACCTGTGGCTGGTGTGAGAGTGTCTTCTCTCAATGTATGTGGATCGAGTGATCCTTCTTATGCCCTGAAAGGTGGGCTGTTTAGGTCTGCAGATCAGTAACTGCTATGACAGCAGTTTGTTTCCTTCTTCAGTTCATATTGAACCTAAATTTCTGTGTGAAAAGTTGATGAGTTATTGCTGGAGGGACTGGTCAGACCTGTTTTTTGATATGTTTTGCACATCTGAACTGGTTTAGTAGGGCTGAAATTTGAGAACAAGTAATGGTGTGTGATCAGTTTTGATTATTCTGTGTGAGTACATGTTTTTTTTTTTTTTTTTTTTGTGCCCAGAATTGTGGCTGAACTAAGACTTCAACTTGTTTGACTGTACTCTGAGTCTGAACTGAACTGAGAACTTGTTCTCTAGGTGGATTGTGACTGAACTGAAATCAGGTTCTATGTCTTCTGAGGATTCTGGTATGTCTGGTGTGACCTCTAGTCAGAGTGGGATGAGTGGAGGTTTTGACATGAGTTTCTCCATGGCTGTGATTCCCTTTGATGGCCTCAATTACCTAGAATGGTCAAGGGGAATCAAGCTCTACATAACTGCAAGGGGAAAAGTGGGGTATATCAATGGTAGAATCAGAGAACCCCAGTCTGGAGGCATAGAACATGATAGGTGGGACCAAGAAAACAGTATGGTGATGTCATGGCTGTTATTGTCTATGCTGTCACAAGTGAGAAAGACCTTCATGTGGGCAGAAAGAACTCATGAGATATGGGAGCAGGCAAAATCTACATATTCAGAACAATGACATTATGCCAAAATATATCAGTTGCAGGCTGACTCCTCAACTTGTAAGCAGGGGGAGAGGAGTCTTTCTGTCTACTATTCAGACTTGAATTCTATTTGGAAGGAACTAGATCATTATTAGAATATAAACTAGAAATGTGATGTAAATGCCAAAGCATACAAGTCTCCGGTTTCCCAGCAACGAGTGTTTGCTTTTCTGTTAGGGCTGAATTCCACATATGAATCTATCAGGGTTCAGATATTGGGGAGTAAAGATCTCCCATCAATACAAGAAGTATATGCTCTAGTACAATCAGAAGAGAGCAGACGGAATGTGATGAATAATCCTAAGGGAGAGCAGATTGCATTAGTAGCTAAAGGGAGTGCTACTACGGGGGGTGGTAATTCCTTCAAGAAGAGTGACTTCCAGAAGAAAGTTGATGACAAAGATAAACTATGGTGTACACATTGTCAGAAGTCTAGACATACTCGGGAGACATGTTGGGAGCTTCATGGGAAGCCAAAGTGGGCTCAGGAACTGAGTAAAAAGCCGGACAGAATAAGAAGCCAGGACAACAAGGTTAGAGGAAGTTTAATGCATCAAACTTAGCCTCTCAAGAGCCTCAATCATCTACCACTACTATGAGTCCTTCTATGATTGATCCCAAGAAAGATATCATTAATTCTTTCCGTGACCATTTGGAGCTGTATAGGAGGGCAATCTGCTAGATGGATTCTGCTTCTCCCCCCTCGACTTCCTTTGCATCTGTCCATTTAGGTAACGGTAACTCTGCTACAGCTTTTCATGTGCCCTCTCATCCCTTAGACTCTCCTTGGATAATAGATTCTGGAGCCTCAAACCATATGACGGGTTAGTCCAATTGTTTTCAATCTTATCATCTATTATCTGGTCAGGATAAGGTGAGACTTGCTGATGGTTCTTTCTCCACCATAGCTGGCAAGGAACCATCTCCCTTCCCCTTGGACTCACCCTTTTTGATGTTCTACATGTTCCTAAACTACCCATAAATTTGTTCTCTGTTAGTAGTATAACAAATTCGTTAAACTGCTCATTAACCTTTTTTCCTTCCTCTTGTATGATGCAGGATTTGGCCTCGGGGAAGATGATTGGTAGAGGTCATATTGGTAGATGGTCTTTACATGCTAGAGAATAA